ATCTCCTTGTATTGACTTTGGAATGCTTAGAGTCACAAGTGTCACTCCTCTAATGGTTCACAAACACCATAAGCAAGAGGATGAAGAGGAGAGAGGTTGGAGGCTGCCAAAACGTGTGTAAACCCTTACAAGAACATTAGCCACGTTTTTGAGCCTTAAGGGGTCTTTATATAGTTGGGCTATTATGGTTATCTAACAAGGAAACCCTAATTTGGATGCTTAAGCCCTAAGCAACCCATAGACTCCTTTTAATCAAGCCCTTGGACGATTTCCTTATGGGCTTCCCCCATAGAATTCGTCCAACCCTTGATACAAGGCAATCCATGGCCCAAATTGCAATTATCCTATAATTACAATTCCAGTCCCTTAAGTTTAATTAATCTCTTTTAGTCACAAAACTAATTACCAATTAATTATTGACTAATATTAATTAAACAATATGATTTCTCCTTTAATATATTATTCCCATAATATATTAATAAATCATATTTAATCCTTACTCTCCATAATTCATCCTATCAAGTTGCTTTGGTGAAGGCAACCCAAAAGGACCATGCACCATCGGGTCAAGTACATACCAAAATAGTTATGGACTTAGACACTAATCCAACACATCCAACGGTTATAATTGAAGCGGTGGCATCACTGGATCAGTGGATTTGGCATGCTTTTTTTGGTTCTCATGGATCCCCTAATCACATTAATCGTTCACCTATATTTAACAACATATACGACGGATCTGCACTGGATTCTTCTTTCCAATTGTGTAGAACACCATATAAATATGGTTATTATCTAGTTGATCTATCCTGGGTATGCAGTTTTTGTTAAATCATTTACGTGTCCGAATGATACTCGTCGGAAAAAATTCAAGAAAGCTCAAGAAAGAGCTAGGAAGGATGCCGAGTGGGTTTTTGGAACTCTCAAGAAACGTTGGTTTATATTGGAAAAACCAACAATTTTTTTTCAGCGAGGAATAAATGCATGAAATCATGTATGTATGTATAATACTGTATAATATGATTACAAAAAACAAAGGAAGAACGATATGTGAGTATGATGAAGATGAAACCATTTCCGCGACACACACAATAGAAATTGGGGGCAACGAGTACATTGAAAAAGAACAGAGGTTTATTGTAATGAAACATTTCACAATCTTCGTATGGACTTGGTGAAACATATTTATGAGATTCAACATATTAACCTCAATTTGGATCTTGATAATGACCCAAAAGACGAGTTTTCAGATGACGACTTCATGTTGTGTTTTATTTTTAATCGTTTGATATATGTTTTTTTTTTTTAAGTTTGTAGGTTTAAAATTTCTAGTGTTTTTTTTCCGAAGTATTTAGGATTTTTTAAGCAATGGAATGTAATGATATTTTTATATTGAAGTAATGAAGTGAATGTTTTTTTATTAAAAATATAGTTTTTATTTAAGGGTTTAGATCATTTTTGATCACTTAATTTTTGGTTTTGTGCTGATTTGGTCACTTAACTATTTTTAAGTTTTAAAAGGTTATCAAACTTTTGACTGTGTGCTCATTTAGTCACTTAACTTTTAGATTTGTGCTTATTTAGTAACCTAACTTTTAAAATTGTGCTCATTCAGTCACTAAACTTTTGAAAATTTTTAAAAGTTTAGTGATTAAATGAGTACAATTTTAAATGTTAGGTAACTAAATGTGATCAAATCAAAAGTTAAGTGACTAAATGAACACAAATCCAAAAGTTTGATGACCTTTTAAAACTTAAAAATAGTTAAGTGACCAAATGAGAACAAAATCAAAAGTTAAGTGACAAAAAATGAACTAAACCCTTTATTTAATTAAAATGAAAAAAAATAAATAAATCAAGTGTGGTACCACTCTTTGGTGTGGCATGAAATCATATTTTTATGGTAAAAGATGACGTATTGCCTAAGTGACAGTGAAGAAAATTCAATGAAAGACCCTAACTTTCGTATTTTTGAAAGACCCAAACTTTCATATTTCACATTATCATTACTCCAAAACATGTTATTTGCATATTCATAAAAGCAATATTTTACATTGATATAAAGGATTTACAAACTATTGGATACAAACCTTCTATTACAAAGTGTTATATATATTACATAACTACCAAGGATATTGTAATTTATACAAACATAAAAAGTAGTACAAAAGTACTATTACAAACTATTCTACATCTTTCAATAGTATGTAAACATACTATTTATTTATCACCTGCAATTGTTAAACATTGATAGGGTAAGCGGTGACGCTTAGTGAGTTCAAAAATAGATACAATATAATGTTATGCCATATATATACTTCAATGTGGCAAGGCAAAGAGGAACAACAAGATGTATGTGAGATCATGTAACAAGCGTTCATATCAATCAAAGACATTATTTAAAGATATTCTTTTCAATTCTTGATATACATCAATAAAGCTTTGGCCCAATTGGCATAGAAGACATGCAATTTCTGATTAACATCTTGTTAGATTTCAAGCTTATAATCCTGTCTAACCATTTGCCAATACCATAGAATAGAAGTCATTCTCTTACGGAGACATGCTCTACATGGCCAGAGGCTACGTACCAGTACCAATGTGAATCTAAGTCCTTTCACTGATCACATGGTCAAAGGTATTACAATTGCTATAAACATAGCGAATAATACGAGAAAATAACTCAGAATGATAATACTGAAAAGCACATAGCACATATAACACATAACATACAATTGTTCCTATATATTGAACTCACCTTAAGTTAACCGGGGGTTAAAATAGTAATTTGGACAGCACTTCGGCTTTAAATATGCCTTTCTATGTTGAAAATCGGGAGTTTGTTTGAAAACCGGGCTCTGCGAAGGTAGGGCTTCAAAACCGAAAAGATAAAATTTTCGGGCTTCTCGGGACGTGTTTCGGGCTTTAAAAATGATACCGGGGCTTCGGGAAATGTCAAAATAGTGAATATATGGATTTAGGGGTGAAAAATGGAAATTTTCTCATTTTAGGTGGGAGGGTTCGCAGGCCCCTTTATATAGGGCCGAGGTTCGGATGTCGGCTAAGAGGCGAAGCTCGGTGGCAGCAGCGGAGCGAAGCAGGTGGCGAGAGAAAGAGGCTCGGATGCGAGGTTCGGCTGCGAGGCTGATAGGCGAGGCGTGTCTCGCTCCTGCTGGACCTCAGCTTCGGCGAATCAGGGCAGAACACGCGTCGGAAGCAAGCAGCGAAGCAGCTCGGAGGCGAAGCGCATGTCGGATCCGGATTGGCTCGCACCTCGGTCCAATCAGCTCGCAACACGTGAAGCTTCTCGGTTCAGCCACGTCTCCGGTGACATTGCTGCTTCGTGCGAGTGACGTGTCCGGGCACTATTCATGCGAAAATTTTCGATTTTTGTGCCCCGAACTTCTAAAATCCATAACTTTCGCATACGAGCTCTGTTTTTGACGTTCTTTATATGCACGCGTAGCTAAAATCACGCTCTACAAATTTTGTTTAGACTTCTTCGGCTAATTTTGACTTTAATTTTAATATTATTATTTTTAATAGACCGGGACAGGAAAATCCGTTAAAAATTCATAAGTTCTTCATCCGACATTCGTTTTCGTCAGACTTTTTACCGTTGTACTACATATGACGAGACCTTCAATTCTCGTTTAGGATGTATCGGTAAAATATCGCTCGATCTAAAATTCGAGTTTTTAGCTGTTTACTGCTAAGTTGAAACTTCGAAAAATCATAACTTCCTCATACGAAGTCAGATTTTAGCGTTCTTTTTATCGAATCTCTCGGTTTAACGAATACTACGACTTTCATTTAGATTACTAAGGCTAAAAAATAGTTTATCAAAAACTCACTTTTTACGTCATTCGGCGCCGCGCCGGTTTTGTCGCGGATCTTCGGTTGGTCATAACTTCTTCGTTATAACACGGATTTTGACGAGATTTTCGCCTACAAATTTCTAACGAGATTCTCTACAACATCAAATAATAAAATTTTATTTAAAATTTCATATTTTTGCTAAATTTCACTATTTGGCTTTTAATTGGAATTTCATAAGATTTCAAATATTTTCTGAGTGATTCTAAACATATTTTTACTTCATTTCTAGTAAAAATAATTTGTTAGAACTCAACACTCAATTTTACATAATATTTCACAATTTTATTTATTAAAAACACGATTTTAGAATGTGTATGTTACATTCAACTTTTATTATATCATTCCGCCTAAAGAGAAAGCAACCGATGGGATCATAACAAATGGATCATTTGTGTAATTTACTTTTTTTTCTAGATCAACCAAAAGGATGATTTGTGTAATCTACTTTTTTTTTTTTTTTTTTTTGGTTGAAAATGCGATGGAGTTGAATTGTCCATTAATGTATTATCCAAACTCGGTATGGTGACGTAGTTGAACCAACATTGATTCAATCGATTTCAGTTACGTGCACTAATAATACAAGAGATCACATGTTTTTTGAATATAAAGATTCAACGTATTTCACGATACTTTTGTTTATTAAAATATCCTCCGTATTTTTAAAAGTATAGGAAAGGGAATACATTATTGTAATGCGCAAAACTACCAATATATCTTAATCAAACCCGTATATGAATGATACGTGTTTTATTAATTATTAAATCTAAGCCTTTATATAGATTTTACAAATTGTTTATTCCTATTCGGTATTTCTTTTGTTCATTTTTATGGAAAAGGTATTCAAATCATTGATAGTATAAATCCCAATGGAAGCTGGAAGTTGGGGAGTAATATTTTGCCAAAAAAGAAAATTTAACAAATACTAAACTTAAATACTAAATACAACCAAACTTATTCATATTTCTCTCTCTCTCTCTCTCTCCATGATTCCCCACCTTTCCTCCAGCTCAGAACAATCACAATTTCCTGCCAGAATCTGCTTTACTCTATCATACATATCAATCAAATCACAGAGGGAACAAACCTGCTAAAATCGCGTTTTTGATGTTGAATTGTACCTGATGCCGGCTATAGAAGATGCCGGCGACGGATTGCCGTCAACGGCGGAGAAAACCCTGTTCGGAAAATACGAGGTCGGTCGTCTTCTTGGATATGGAGCCTTTGCTAAGGTGTATCACGCGCGTGATGTGCAAACGGAGAAGAGTGTGGCAATTAAAGCCATCAACAAGCAGACGATTCTGAAAGGAGGCCTTGCTGCCAACGTCAAACGCGAGATCTCTATTATGCGCCGGCTGCGCCACCCTAATATCGTGCGCCTTCTCGAAGTGCTTGCCAACAAGAAGAAAATCTACTTTGTATTGGAATTCGCAAAAGGAGGCGAGTTATTTGCCAAAGTTGCCAAATCACGTTTTAGCGAGCATCTCAGCCGTCGATATTTCCAGCAACTCATCTCAGCCGTTGGTTACTGCCACTCACGCGGCGTCTTCCACCGAGATTTGAAGCCGGAAAATCTCCTCTTGGATGAGAATTGGAACTTGAAAGTAACCGATTTTGGATTATCAGCTCTGACGGAGCAGATCCGACCCGACGGACTCCTCCACACGCTTTGCGGGACCCCTGCTTACGTGGCACCGGAGATTTTGTTGAAGAAAGGTTACGATGGTGCAAAGGTGGATATCTGGTCCTGCGGCATCATCTTGTTCGTCCTCAACGCAGGTTATCTTCCGTTCAACGATCCGAATCTCATGGTGATGTATAGGAAAATTTACAACGGTGAATTTCGTGTTCCCAGGTGGACGTCGCCAGATCTGAAACGGCTTATATCACGTCTCCTTGACACGAACCCACAAACGAGAATCACCGTGGATGAAATAATCAACGATCCTTGGTTTAAAATCGGTTACAAAGAGGTCGAATTTCATTGCGATCATCTCGAACTGAAAGACGACGACGATGATTGCGATTCCGCCACATCCACCTCGACCGGCGACACTCTGAAGGTAATGAACGCATTTGATATAATCTCCTACTCGTCCGGCTACAACCTGTCTCGGCTGTTAGATGATCGAGAGGTCGGAGAACGGTTTCTTTCTACGGCGTCGCCGGAGGAAATCATTGAGAAGGTGGTTGAGGTAGCAGAGGGAGAGAATTTGACGGTGGTTACGAGAAAAGGGTGGTGTGTGAAAGTTGTAGGAGGGTATAATTGTAATTTTGTAATGGCGGTGGAGATAAAACGATTAACGGAAGAGCTGGTGGTAGTTGAAGTTAGGAGAATAGAGAGTGAGGTAGGACCCGGTCATCAAATATGGAAAAATAAAATTAAACCGGGTTTAAATAATTTGATTTATAAAACCGGACCCGCCGGTTGTCGGTAATTCACTCGTATATTGGCCATTTGGCCCCATTGTTCCCTTCTCGTTCCGTTCAAAATAGTCTTACTTTTTAATTATTCAAAATTTAAACAATTTAAACATAAAATAATTTCATGCAATATTTTTTTATTTTATATTGACGTCTTTAATCTGATTTTTTTTTTTTTAAACCGGGCATATAACATATTAGAAAAAAAAAAGCACAATAACAAGAAACTATAGGCCAAAATTACAGTAAGCAAGAGAAAGGACTAGAGCACCAAAGACGTCTTTAATCTGATGACGAACACATTTTTTTTTTTCAAAGACGGTATTTATGATTTTATTTAATACATCATGACGTTTAGAAAAGGATAGATTTTAATCATTTTATGTATCTTCCCAAATCCCAATATAGGTATAAGAAATCTCAAACGTCATTTTCAGGCTTTTTATTTTTATTGAAGTCCACATGTTTGAAAAAAAAGATTTTTTTTTTTTTTATCATTTTTTATCATATTAAATAGTAACAAATATCAGATTTAATATTAATGAAATTGATAGTATTATATAACAATTGTTATCATTTAATACTTTAGGAAGATAAATAGAAAATAAATCTTTCTAGAAAGGAAAATAAAAAGAAAATGTATTAAAAAAAATTAAATTTTCAATTGTGACAGATATCAAATTTAATAAAATTAATAATATTTTTGATACTTATTACTACTACTATTTACTATTATTACTATTACTATTTACTATTGTAGGAAGATAAATAAAAATATTAAAAAAAATTATTTGTTAAAAAAAAGTATTTTGAATAAAAGATAAAAAAGTATCTTTTTGTTGGTCATTGTCCTGATGAATTGACGAGAACGTGTATCAACAAAAGATCAAACAACTTTTGTAAAACATTAAAATATGACATTTTAAATAAAAGATTAAAAAAATATTAATAAATTTTTTATTATCGTCTTGACTCTTATGACTTGTCACACATCTTTCTAGTATTTGTTACTTGCAAGTTTCTAATATGTATGATTAGGGAAAATGATTTATATGGGTAGTTATCTTTTAAAATCGTTCAAAAAATATCATTCAAGTTTGATATGTTCAAAAAACATTATCCAAGTAAATTATTTGTATAAAAAACATCAACGAAGTATATTCTTTTTTCAAAGTTGATCTTTGGTAACTGGTAATTACCGGTAAAAAATAAGTAAAGGAAAAAAAACAATAAGAAATGACTCAAAGAGGCAACCGTGTTTTAAAATCGTTCAAAAACACCATCCAAGTAAACTTTTTGTACAAAAAACACCAACAAACTATATGTTTTGTTCAAATATTACCCACCGGTAACTGGTTCTTACAGGTTAAATGATAACTTGGCTTAACTATTATGACATAGCATAAAAATGATTGACAAAACAATAAATGATATATTCCTCCTTTAAAAACCGATTTAGGGTTTCTTCATGAACGAATGACTTCTTCTTCTCCTATAATTGCTCTCCTTCTTCTAAAGTGATGATCTCGAACTTAAGTCCAAAACCCTAACTCTTAACTTAAGGCAAAAAAGGCTCCTTTACCCCTGCCTCAATAGGCCTCCCTCTCCCTAAGGCCTAAATCCATAAAAAGCCCAAAAAGGCATCTAAGCCTAACTACAAGGCATCTAAGGCCTAATATGGCCCAAGAACCCCCAACATGGCCTTAAGCCCAAAAAATGACCTGCTACAATCAGGTGGGCTCGATACCTAACTTAAACAAGCCTATTCATACGCTTAACATATGCTGAAGCCTCTGTGATATGGATTTTATGCAAGTACTCCCGGCGTACTCCTACGTACGCCCATTAAACTCGACTAGGCTCAAGAACCGCCAATCTTCCGAAGGCCATAACTTCTTCATTCTAAGTCCAATTTCGTTGTTTATATCCACATGAAGGAAACAATAAGCTCTAGAATACTATCAACTCTCCCTTGCCATAAACCTTTCTAACATAAACCCAAACTTCATAAAAAGGTCAATATTTTGTGTCTTTTGTGTTACATAAAATCTTACATGTAAGAAGGATTTGAAGATTTTGTGATTCAAAAGTTTTCATATAGTTGAAACATTCATGATCCAAATATGATGATTTGAAGAAATGGGTTATATCTCATCGATGGTAATTGTAATATGATTTTTTCTTTCAACCAAAACAAATGAAGCTTTCATAGGAGAAGAAGAAGTCATTCGTTCGTGAAGAAACCCTAAATCGGTTTTTAAAGGTGGAATATATCATTTATTGTTTTGTCAATCATTATTATGTCATGTCATAATAGTTAAGCTAAGTTATCATTTAACCTGTAAGAACCAGTTACTGGTGGGTAATATTTGAACAAAACATATAGTTTGTTGGTGTTTTTTGTACAAAAAGTTTACTTGGATGGTGTTTTTTGAACATACCAAACTTGGATGGTGTTTTTTGAACGATTTTGAAACATCGTTACCTCTTTGAGTCATTTTCCTATTGTTTTTTTCCTTTACTTTTTTTTTTTACCGATAATTGCCGGTTAACAAATGTCAAATTTGAAAAAAGAATGTACTTCGTTGGTGTTTTTTGTACAAATGATTTACTTGGATTGTGTTTTTTAGACACATCAAACTTGAATGGTATTTTTTGAACGATTTTGAAACATACTTACCCATATAAGTCATTTTCCCTGTATGATTAGGTTGGAGGGAATGGTATCATGCTCATTTATTTTGTTATATTCCCTTATCATATAAAGAATGATATAACATGAGAGAGAGAGAGAGAGATGTCATTTAAAGTTTCTGTAATAGCTTTACCAAATAACCAACTGGGTTGTTCGACAAAACATGACCGATCGTAAGGAATTAAATATACTTAAATGTTCACGATGAATAAGAAAAAATGATCATTAGTGTTAGATTGTTTCGGCTAAAAATCACTCGATCTCAAATCGAGGATTCGGGCTGCATACTGCTAAGTCGAAACTTCGGAAAAATCATAACTCCCTCATACAAAGTCAGATTTGGGCGTTATTTTTATGCACGCTCTCGGTTTAATGAACCATACGACTTTCGTTTAGATCACTAAGGCTAGATATCACTCTAATGTAAATTTCACTTTTTACGTCATTCAGCATCGCCGGTTCTGTCGCGAAACTTCGACAAGTCATAACTTCTTTGTTATAACTCAGATTTTGGCATTCTTTATATATTCGAAAACCTCATTTCAACTACTACAACATTATCCATAGATATAGAGCTTATCTAACATTTCATTTTGATGCTTATTTTTTATTCTTAATTCAATTAAGTCACACAGTTAAGCACAAAACACATAATACTCAAATAATACACTTCTATTATTTCAAAACGGGTTACAAAGGTTAACCTAGACTATTATATCAATATTAATGACAAGCCCAGAAACATAGGCATTACATGGTCGCCTACAAAAAACACTATAATGATGTGACAAAAGTTGCTTGCATCATGGTGGCCACAATGACTCCTAAATTGTAGAGATACTATGAGGATTACTGGCTATATGAGATGAATAAGGACCTTATGGAGAGATACCCTAAGCGAGCTCATCAGGAAAAGTACGAGGTGGTAAAGTCCCTCATTGCTAGCAAGATGAAGGAGGGAGAGTCTGTTAGTAGCCACATTCAGAGAATGCAACAATACGTGGACATGCTCATCAAGTTAAATGTGAATTTTGATGAAGAGTTGGAAATCGACATGGTGTTGAAATCTTTGCCTAGTTGTTATGATCAGTTCATATTGACCTATCATTTGAAAAACAATGAAACTACTTTGTCTCAATTTCACAACCTCCTGCGAACATATGAAGCAGGAATGAAGGGAAAAAGTATTGCCTCCACTCCTGCTAGTGCTCCAGTTCTGGCCATTGGTCAAGGGAAACGGAAAAAAAAGGAAAGGTCTTCCTAAGCAAAACAGGAAGGGAAAGTCCCAAGCTGGGTCGTCAAGTAAAGGACCCAAAGGAAAATCCAGTTCTGATGCTCCCCTTGCTCGAACCCAAAAGAGGTCACTTACTTCTACTATAATGACAAGGGGCATTGGAAATGAATGTAACATACACGTTTTGAAATTGTGTTTTATAATGAATAAGATTGTGAAATACTATGTGAATTTGAGTATTGAATTCTAACAGATAGTTTTTACTATAAATGAAGTAAAACTATGTTTAGAATCACCCATAAAGTATTAGAAGTCTTATGAGATTCTAATTAAAAGCCAAATAGTGAAATTTAGCGAAAATATAAAATTTGAAATAAGTAATTTTTTTTATTGAGGGTTGTAGAGAATCTCGTTAGAAACATTTAGTAGAAAACCTCGTCGAAATTCGAGTTATAACGAACAAGTTATGACCAATCGAAGATCCGTGACAAATCCGACAAACACTATGTCGTGTAAAAATTTAGTTTTCGATAAACTACTTTTTTAGCCTTAGTGATCTAAATGAAAGTTGTAGAACTCATGAAAATAATGAACTTTCATTTAAAGAAATTTTAAATATGACTTCGTAGGACGAAGTTATGGTTTTTCTAAATTTCGAACTAGCAGTAGACAGCTAGAAACTCGAAATAAAGATCGAACGATATTTAGCCGATATAACCTAAACGAAAATCGAATGTCTCGTCAATACTAGTACAACTGTAACACGCGTATTGACTACATTTATTTTACAACATTAGTTATGGAGTATTATATTTTGGTACGTCATAAAATAATATCTATTATATTTTGCAAATATCACATATTCAGATTTTATATAAATTCAGAATTTTATAATAATTATATTGCATGTATTTAACAAAATGGATTTGTTATCTCAATAAAAACAATTCATATATTAATATATATAGTTAAGGTTTAAAATCGAACACATTTTTATTGTTGAGGGGTAATATATGTAAAAGATTTAAGAAATGTAAATTGTTCAATTAATATATACACACGTAATTAATATATGCAGGATGGATGCAAAATGTGCGTACATTTCTATTTGTTGTCAAAATTATAAAGGATTGCTTAATAGGGAGGAAAAATAAATAGTCAGCATAATATGTGTCATTAAATTGAGAAGTCAGTGCATTCATGGACACATAGGTGTTAGTTTGTGAGGTGAGTAAGCTTTAACATAGTAA